ATTTATTTAAAACAATCGAAGGTGACATTTTAGTATATATTTTTTAATGAATTGGAAAAAAAATTTGTGTTATTGTTCCGTTATTTGAACTCAAAAAATATTGGGCCAAGCCCCAACTTCCTTCACTACCTCTTTACTGCCCCCACACAATTTTTCCTGGCTTTTTACTATTTTACAACATAATTTTTCTTTTTTTACTGACCTTCCAGTGTCTAAATAGACTCATTTTAAAAAAAAGTATAATACGATTTACTGCGCTCTTCATTAACACTCTTACAAGTTGCTTGATTCATGCTATAATATATTGTATATCTCCTCTTCATCTGTTTGACATTTTATTGTTTGAAAAGAAAATGTTTCTATTGAGTGAAGTTAAGATTACTTTATTAACTAAGTAATGATGGTTATCAAACATTTTTCAACAGATATAGTCTGTTATTTATTTTTCAAGGATAGTAAATGTTTTAAATTCTCGTTCTCCAAATTTTTATAAAATAATTCATTGCCTATCCAACAAGCATGTGTTATTAATAATAATGTAATGAAATTTAGCTCTTCCTCCTCTCTAACGAATCCTAACCCCTCCTTCTTTTTTTGACGCAAGGTTTCGGTAACTTTTGCTACGTCATACCTCCGTAACAGTCTTCTTTTACCCCTCCCCAACCTCCGAGTCTCACGGTTACAGTAAACTGAATGGTACTGATGACAAAAACATTTTAAAAATGTCAATAAATATTTCGCATGTGGACACATCAATAGACAGGTTATTTTTCTAAGCATGAAATGGTGTAATTTAAGTAAGTTTTATGTTTTATTGCAAGTTATTTAGCTTATGCTATGTATTATACGTGTTGCTTTGCGTAGTTCTATCTAAAGTCGACGTAATTTTTGAATAGAACTAAGCTTTATGAAAAAACTAAACCCATCGTTGTCATCATTAACATTATGATTGTTACTATCATTATAATTGTTGTTATTATTATGATTATTATTATTATTATCATTATTATTATTATTATTTCAATAAGTTGTACATCATTATACAGTCACAAGTATAGTACTTGATATTGAACATGCTCAATTAACAAACTTAATTGTCAAATCGTAATACTATAGTTGTAACTGTGTAATAATGAACAAAAACTTATTGAAATTCAAATGCCAGCCACATGGGTTTCGACCCATGCGCATTGCAACCGGTAGGTCACCTAGTCGCAAGAGAGGAGTATAGATAGGAGCGCTGAGCCACCCAAGCTGTTACAATGCGACTTTTTTTTTTTTTGTTAAATTTCAATGAAATTGACAAAAAGTTTCAGCAGTGTAATGCATTAATACAAAGATGATACATGAATTTTTTGGCAACAAAAAATTAAATTATCATTCTGTTATGGCAAAAAACGCTAATTTGTTGTATCTCGGCTTTAGAGTGAGCTAGAGCAGTTTATTTTTCAGTTCGTGTTTTTTATGACAAATGCAATAACGTTTGTTGGAAAAAAAGTATGCGAAATTGACTAAGATATTTTTAATTGTGTAAGTTTTAAAATTGAATTTTTGGTAGAAAACGTCAAAATCCACAAAATTCCAATTTTTTCTTATCATCATTTCTGACATTAAATAAAACGTTTTTACCGAAATAAAATGTCTATAAACAGACCGTGAAATTTGTAATAGCACTTAAAAGCTTTCCGTTGAAAAGTTAACTACAAAAAATTAACAATAACTTTGAAATTCTACAAATAGCCATTTATTGTGCAACTTAATATCTACATCTTTTCACGGATATGTTCAAATAATCATGATAGTTTTTTTTCTACGTCGATCGAAAGTTTGTTGGTATACAATATATTTTCAACACTTTCTAGCTGTTAACGTGTTATCAACAATAATTAAATAAATTTGCAGAAGTGTCTATTTTATAGAAAATTTGATCACGAAGAGATTGGCGGTGGAACGATTCCTTGAAGAGCAGTAAGCAAAAAACTAAATAAAAAATTAGCATTTTTTTATGAATTGCTGAATAAATAAATGAAGCCGACTTTTAATTTGGACACAACTATTGTTCCCGTATTTCTGTGAAAACTCTGTAGGGGAATGATCTATTTGTTGTCTACTGGAAACGTAAGATTAAATCGTATTTTTTTGTCTTCGGGCAATGGACTTACACGACTAAGTGCGATGATCACGCTAAAATCAGTTTATCTGCTTATCATAGAGGCTAACGCGCATACAACCCTTAACTATCATGGCCAATAACCAAGTTTTTTATTTTTAGTAAAAAAAAAGTTATAGCTTTACCTTTTAATATTGTCCTGTAATTGGCATAACACATTTCTACTTTCAGACAATTGGTTCTGTATATCACTAGCAAACTTTTCACTTGAATCATAGTTTTGTTGATACTTGATTAGTTCTTCTTTTTGAACACGCAACTCTTCAGTTAATTGGATTATTTTTTGATCTGAAAATGAACAAACAAAAAACATTAAATAGAAGTATTTGAAAATTACCATACATGCTTGTAACTTTTTACTTTTTCTTTATATTTTGTGAAATTTATCGATTTATCAAGTCGAAATGTAACCCTAATTGTAGTCAGTAATTTGTGGCAAAAAAAAACTATTTTTAGAGTATGAAGTATATCAACAGATTGTCAAGAACTATGCCGCATTTTACTGGGCCTGATTTGGTAAGTTGTATCTACAGAGGTTATACTAGAGTAGGTAAGTGTGCAAGTTTTATAATGGCAAATTCACCAGGAATTACATAACTAGTTAATCTTTATTTACAAATTCACACTGACAACACAAAGAAATAGGCAGACGTACAGAGGCCGTCAGAGTTACATGCAACAACTCTGACCCAGTCAGTACTCTCGGAAGACACACTTAAGGCCCTCGTGCGATGATAACACGATGGTCATAAATAATTATCCAAAAGATACTTGAAAAAATAATGGAATTAATATTCTATATTGAAATCTACACCTCACAGTAAATCTAGAAATTCGCCCGAATCTTTTGGATTATAAACAACAGAAAGAAGACCTCAATAAGGAGCGGCGTAGGCTCAATGGTAAGCGTGCTTGTAACTGATACAACGCCATTCTAGGATCGTTGGTACGATTCCCGGTAAGAGCAGATTTTTTCAAAAACTATTTTCACCGGAAAAAGTTACTATGAAACCCCGGCTGTTTCGGCGCAGGTTTTTCCGTGGAATTTTCCTTTAAAGTGATTCCAGGATTTTTTCCTTGCCTCCTAGGTCTTCAGACCTGAGTATATGCGGAACATTGTTAGGGCTACAGGTAGAAATCAGCGGATCTGATACCAGGCATTGATTGCCGGCCTTACCAGCGAGAAGTGGTCCCTGAAACATGGGACTATTCCGGGAATGCTAATTAGCCAGAATCCGATGCTTCAACAGAAAGCGCCAGCTTAATCAGCGAGGAGTGGACGCCCTGAAATATGGAGTCTTCACCGGGGAAAAGGCACCCAGTGGTGAGTAGACCCAATGCACCATTTATGCAGATAGTGACACCTTAAGTGACAAGGTGGTACACTGGAGATACTCGCACTGTGCCCATGGATTAGGTATGATATTAGTAAAAGGGTTGGAAATGGGTGCGGTAATACACTCCCACATATAGGTAGTGAGTGGGTGGCTCTAGTGACTAGTTCTATAGGCTGTTGCGGTAAGCCGGTAAAAAAAAAAAAAAAAAAAAAAAAAAAAAACTATAAGAGCTTGATACCTATGTGGTCAGCATGCTAGCTTTCTAGCCGAAAAATCAAACAGAGTCAACATTTGAGTTTTTCAAGCTGCACATTGTTTTCTGCAACGCTCAAATTTTCTCGACTTTTCAAAAAATGTTAAGAAATTCTTAGTGTAATCTGTATTCGACTAATCTTCTTAGAAATAATATTACAGTCAAGCCAACGTACTTGCGGAACGCGAGAATCTTTTAATTTCAATTGTTCAAGAATTACCAAGGACCAATAAAACTTGATTGTTCTTAGTCGTTTAAAATAGCGTTAATTTATTAGCGTATGTATGTATTATAACAGCGGTTAGCAAAGCTCATAACGCAATTAATGTTGGCTCTTTCCTAGTTTAGACGTGTTTGATACATTACATTAACTAAGAAGCCAAATTCAATAACTCGATCTACGCTCGGAGGCCCTGAAAAGTTCTAGCATAAAACACGAATCATCGAAATAAATGATTTTTAAAACTTAAATTGCCGAATCACCACGAAAAAAGTACAAATCGATTCGAAATTTGACACATACATGAATCAAGTATTAGCGATGCCGACAGCATGATTAAAACAACAATATGTTCAAGTGCATAAATAATACTAAATGAAAATCTGCGCCTATCGGAAGGTGAGGTTTTTCGAGCTTCACCGAGAAAAAGTATGCGAGAAATTTTAACGTAGGGAAAACTTTTAGCAAGAAAGTTGTTCTTTTGGGTCTCAAAAAGTTTTTCGCCAAATTTCAATGCGATTAGTTCGATATTAAGAAAGACACATTGATTTTACGTAACCATTGCTATCGACGTACGGCACGATTGAGACAGTATACATCAGCGGAGCATCGTCTGCTAAGTCCTCGATGGTAGTAATATTAATATTATAAAATAACGACATATTGTTTATGAATAACAATTTATTGATTGTTATTTTTGAATAATACGGCACAATATTCATATCAGAATAAATATAAACGCAATTTTATAATCAGTTACATTTTAAATTCAAAATTTAAATTCATAATTTTACATTCAGTTACATTTTAAATTCAAAATAAATATAAAAATGCTAAGTATACTATACAACTGTTTTCTAATCATTTCAGACTTAAAGTTTGGTTTTTTAACAGATTCTTTTTATGCCATTTCTTGACTAATTAATATTTTTTGTTATAGTATGTTTCTCAACTGGCTCTTTTTTTGTTGACTCTTTGTTGACTGCATCTTTTTTTATGAACTCTTTTTTAAATTTTATGATGGCATTTTTAAAATATGTATTATATGCCGCTTTCACTTCATTACTTATATATATCATCAATATTTTAACATCTTTAGCTTTTTCTCCACTTAATCCAACAGCCTCAGCTATTTTAATTACATATATTCGTAATGTAATTATATATTCCGTTAATTCAAAAGCTTCAATGGCATACTGAATGAGATACTTGAGGAGTCGTGGGTTCGAATTCCGCAGAAAATTATCGGTTTTTTTTTTTTATCGGTCTTTTCAAATGGGATGAGTATCCAGGATGCCGAGACAAACTTATTCGAATTTTAGCACGAATAGTAGATTTTTTCTCGTGATATCTGGACCTCTAGGGGCTTCTTTTGCGAAGGAAAGCCAACACCTGGCCAGCTCATCGGGTAGTCACTGTTGGTTATAAAAAGGTCGGTACAACGAGTAAGATGGTTAATTATGAAAATATCTTTCCAATAAACTTGATAATAGCTGGGGTGTGCTTAAGACAATTACTGCACCCTGTAAGCAGTACTCAGTAGGATGGATGACCAAGTAGTCTAAGGAAAACATTGCAAAGGGGCCAGCGCAAAAGACTCGTATACTTCCGGAAATAAGATCGTAGTAATGACGCAAAAAAAAATAGAAAGGTATCGGACATAAGATACGTAAAAACCCTGGGATACGTATACGTTGGAATCTACAACTAAAAATACTGCTACTACAGTTACTGCTACTACTGCTACTGATGCTACTGCTACAGTTAATCCCGGGTGAGGTTTTCGCTAGTTTCTCCATACCGGGCGCTTCCCCGAGTGGTGGATAGGGGCATCATCTTAAAATATGAGGTGACGATGGGCAGCTGGGGTGGCTCTCTGTGGTGGTGGTCGGGGGCGTGGATTGGGGGGCGTGTGAGGCGTTGGCGTGTGTATCTGCGGCGATGTTGACGGGGGACTAGTGCCCTATGCCTCCATCGGTGTAGATGCATGGGCCGGCTCTGCTTGTGCTCTTTGTTCTTCGTTTTTTGCTGCTTCCGTGGGTGGCACTCCATTGCTTGATGCGGGCTAACAAGAACTAGCACCCGTCGCGTGTAGAAGTAAGCGGCAGTTGAAACATTCTTCTCAGATACATGCATCACACACTCTCACTAAACAAACACAGGGACACTTACGGATTGTTCTGGATTGCGTGTGGCGGGTCCTTTTTCCGGGCTTGCGTTGGGGGCCCGGCGACGGGTGAAGCCGGATGATGAGGCCCAAGTAAGTCTGGGTAACTATATCTGATATGGCTGTACGCCTCATGAACAAAAAAGACGTGGTGAGCCGACAAATCTAGGCTTACTACCACTGAGGAGGCTATATGGCGGCACCTTAGTGCCTTACGCCAGACTGTTTAGTTGGGTTGTCTGCGCGGTCTCGGGACTGTACACCTGCCGCTCGTCTCGCTGGGATGACCGTTGTGTACCAACAAATACATACATTACACACGAACACCCTTCTTACACTTGTTACTCAACGCCAGGGCAGTCTCCGCGGGTGGGACTGAGGGAGAGTGGCGACTCCCGGCCGGCCCGAGCACGTAGCGGTTTTCTCTGGTAACAGAGAGGGCTGCTGCCCTAGTTTTAACCCTTTCCGAATACTTATTTCTAGAAAAAAAGGGTAGTGCTGGCCTTCGCGGGTCAGTACGATATTAAAAAAGATGCCAATATGAAAAACGTCGATGCAAAACAAGTACCCCAGGCGGTAACCTCAGACAGAGGCTGGCTTTAATAAAGGTGGACGAAGCATCTGCCAGACAAGTAGAAAAGGAAGGCAGGTTACGAGTTGGCTTTGTAAGCTGCCGAATCCGAAGAAGAATCGAAGTAACAAGATGTTACAAATGCCTGGGATATGGATACGTCTCGGGCAACTGTGAGAACGAAAACAGATCCAAGCTGTGCTTCCGGTGTGGAAGCTTAAACCACCGGAAGAAAGAGTGTCCAGGCCCAGCACGGTGCTTCCTTTGCCCAACAAGGGACAACAAGCACGAAGCAGGCAGCGGGAGCTGCCCTTTATTTAGAAGAGCCCTAAAAGAGGCCAGGGATAAGACCCAAGCAGGGTCAAAATAAGCCAAAAAAGCCTTGAGTTGAAAGACAGACTTACGTGGACCCACGCTGCGCTAGGTACTTTTTACCTATCAGCAAGGGAAAGCATTAACCTTATAGTGGTGCTGGCTGAGTAGGCGGCCTACTATGAAGCGCTAGACAAGGTGCTGGTCCTTAGGGACCCTGAGTCCTTTTCAGGACTCGAGAGCATCAGCACCTCTAGCAAATGGTGGCAAGTTAGCTCGTTTATGCTGTGAGACGCGATGGTCTCCCTGGTGGCTCCACCCTGAAGTTATGCTAACGCGGTTCCGGGGTGGATCAAAAGCCACGCGGCATGGGGGGGGGGTTTTAGTGGGTATGGGTGGTCTAATAAAAAAATCCACCGAGTCCCACA